GACAAGATAGTAACAGCTCGCCTGGCGCTGCCATATCTTCGCAAACAGTTTGAATGGATCTAAACTGGTTAGACGCGTCGCCACGGTAACTACGCGTGGTAGAGTGCCTCGGGCTCCCTAGTAGCGCCCTCGCTGCGCTCGGGACGCCGACAGCTCGGGAGCCCTCGGCACTCTACCACGCGTAGTCACCTCGGCTCCGCATCTAACCTATATTTGGGTGGTGGCAGTCTTGGAAGACTGGGTTTCAGCCACAAGGTTTACTTCCATCTCTATGACGCAAATATCACTGGAATCTCCATTCTGGGGTCTTAGGTGTTGGACGTCAACAGTCACCCCCCTTAGCCTGAGATCTAAACACTGTAATGGTTGGGTGGTTGTAGACTGCCTCTGGAGCTGTATTCTCTGGTTCAGCGTCCGGCTAAAGTACTGGACCATGTTCGTTCAATATGTTAAGTCTCGGTTCGACGACCGGGATATCTTGGTCCGAGATCTTCTCGGCGAACCTAGGCGAGTCACTACAGCAGTGACATTAAGATTTGCAGGTCTCGGTGGGTTTCTGCCATTAGCATGGCTCTGAAGCTCTCATCTCATGCGCATGCTCATACAATAGTGGGCGGGGTGAGGTGAACGACATGACAAGTTATACCACAGTCGTACATATTTTCAAAGGCCTCCTACTGTTTATTTGGCATATTCCGCGCGGTACGCCATATTCCACGGGATATTATACGGTAGTACTTAGTATAATTATAGGGATTGGCATGGTACCTAGCATCATAGATGTATGGGGCTATGATAGAGAGTTTTGTTCATCTTCTTCTTCTTCTTCAGATTAAACACCCATAACTCAAAAATGAAACAACATAAAGTAATTGAAATTTTGTAAGAATGTAAATATCCATCACCCGAAGAGACTGGTCATACTTATTTCTTGTAAACAACATTGTTTACTGTAAACAACAACAAATAGCCCCAGGCAATACATTATAATGGGATCACATGTGTCAGTATAACTCACAAATGGTAAGAGATATGTGAACGAAACTTTGTACACATAATGTATTCAATCACCAACATCAAAATTACAACAATACATGTTTGTAAACAACAACAAATAGCCTCAGGCACTCTTCTTTAAATTTAATTCTTCACTCCTCAAAACACATAGAGATGAAACTTGGTACATATGCCTATTATATCATTTCCATGACGATTACTTGTTTCCATGACGACCACATTTGTTTGAAAAAGCCTCAGCATTTTCTTAACACCACTTCTTCACTCCTCAAACTTGCTAATTGTAGCACGCATGGAGGTGAAACTTGGTGCGCATGTGTATTATATCGTTTCCATGATGACAACAACAACAAATAAGCCTCAGGCACTTTTCTTTCACTCCTCAAACTCGCTAACGGTACCACGCATGGAGATAAAACTTGGTACGCATGTGTGTAAAATCGTTTCCATGACGACCACAACAACAAATAGCCTCAGGCACTTTTCTTTAAAATTACTTCTTCACTCCTCAAACACATGGAGATGAAACTTGGTGCGCATGTGTATTACTTCGTTTCCATGACGACCACAACAACAAATAGTTTCTTTAAAATTACTTCTTCACTCCTCAAACTTCCTAACTGTAGCACACATGGAGGTGAAACTTGGTGCGCATGCGTATTACATCGTTTCCATGACAACCATGACAACAAATGGCCTTTTCTTTCTTCACTCCTCAAACTTGCTAACGGCTGCACACAAACTTGGTACACATACGTATTACATCATTTCCATGACGACAGGCATTCTCTTATTAATTTTTATGCCCCCTTCATAATACGTAGTAGTATATAAAAATGAGTGGAGACAAGTAAATAAAAAATCCTGCGAATTTATAAAAGAGGCATATAGGGATGGTATAAAAAGAAAGGGAGACAAGATAGGGATGGGATACATGAAGCATGGTTTATGAACACATTTGAGTACGCTGACACCCGACCCCATCACATAATCCCTATATTGTTGCCTAGGTGAAGTATTACACATTCACCATTACAATACACAGAACTTATATATACTACAAAAAAGTCATGCTTCTGAGTAAACAACACCATTATAGAGTCCAAGTGGAGTTTAATTATAGGGAATGTGGCAGTATAAATTTTACTAAAAACAACAGGGACACGATGAAAGGATGCTTGCTTTTAGCCCTTACAATTACAATGCGACATTCCCTATAAGAGTAGCACACCAGGCAACAATATAGGGATTATGTGATGGGGTCGGGGTGTCAGCGTACTCAAATGTGTTCATAAACCATGCTTCATGTGTCCCATCCCTATCTTGTCTCCCTTTCTTTTTATACCATCCCTATATGTCTGTTTTATAAATTCGCAGGATTTTTTTATTTACTTGTAATTATAGGGATTGGCATGGTACCTAGCATCATAGATGTATGGGGCTATGATAGGGAGTTTTGTTCATCTTCTTCTCCTTCTTCAGATTCAACACCCATAACTCAAAAGCGAAACAATATAAAGTAATGAAATTTTGTAAGAATGTAGATATCCATCACCCGATGAGACTAGTCATACTTATTTCTTTGTAAACAACATTGTTTACTATAAACAACAACAAATAGCCACAGGCAATGGATCACGTGTCAGTATAACTCACATATGGTACGAGCTACGTCAACGAAACTTTGTAGACAAAATGTATTCAATCACCAACATCAAAATTACAACTATACATGTTTGTAGACAACAACAAATAGCCTCAGGCACTTTTCTTTAAATTTACCTTTTCACTCCTCAATGGTAGCACACATAGAGATGAAACTTGGTACATATGCCTATTATATCATTTCCATCACGATCGCTTGCTTCCATGACGACCACATTTTGTTTGAAAAAGCCTCAGACAATTTTCTTTATCACCACTTCTCACTCCTCAAACTTGCTAATTGTAGCATGCATGGAGGTGAAACTTGGTGAATATGTGTATTATATCGTTTCCATGACGACCACAACAACAAATGGCCGCAGGCACTTTTCTTTAAAATTACTTCTTCACTCCACAAACTCGCTAACAATACCACGCATGACACTTGGTACGTGTGTGTGTAACATCGTTTCCATGACGACCACAACAAGAAATAGCCTCAGGCACCTTTCTTTAAAACCTCAAACTTGCTAATTGTAGCATGCATGGAGGTGAAACTTGGTGCGCATGTGTATTACATCGTTTCCATGACGACCACAACAAGAAATAGCCTCAGCCACTTTTCTTAAAAATTACTTCTTCACTCCTCAAACTCGCTAACAGTACCACGCATGGAGATGAAACTTGGTACGCGCTGTGTATTACATCGTTTCCATCACGACCACAACAAGAAATAGCCTCAGGCACTTTTCTTAAAAATTACTTCTTCACTCCTCAAACTCGCTAACAGTACCACGCATGGAGATGAAACTTGGTACGCGTGTGTGTAACATCTTTTTCATGACTACCACAAATAGCCTCAGGCACCTTTCTTTATAATTACTTCTTCACTCCTCAAACTTGCTAACTGTAGTACGCATGGGGGTGAAACTTGGTGTGTTACATCGTTTCCATCACGACCACAAGAAGAAATAGCCTCAGGCACTTTTCGTTAAAATTACTTTTTCACTCCTCGAACTTGCTAAAGGCAGCACACATGGAGATGAATGCATATCATTTCCATGACGACAACAGGCCTTTATTCTCTCTTATTAATTTTTATAGGGGCTTGCCCCCTTCAACAGAGATAGTACCTAGTAGTATATAAAAATGAGTGGAGACAAGTAAATAAAAAAATCCTGCGAATTTAAAAAGGAGGCATATAGGGATGGTATAAAAAGAAAGGGAGACAAGAGAGGGATGGGATACATGAAGCATGGTTAATGAACAGATTTGAGTACGCTGACATCCCCACAAAAACCCTATATTGTTGCCTAGGTGAAGTATTAAAGATCCACCATTACAATACTCAGAACTTACAATACACTACTGAGTAAACAACACCCTTATAGAGCCCAAGTGGACTTTAATTAAAGGGAATTTTACTAAAAACAACAGGGAGACGGTGAAAGAATGCTTGCTTTTAGTAACCTTTAGCCCCTATAGGAGTAGCACACCAGGCAACAATAATTATAGGGATTGTGTGATGGGGTTGGGGGTGTCAGCGTATTCAAATCTGTTCATTAACCATGCTTCATGTATCCCATCCCTACGTTCCAAATGCTGTTCTTGATTTCCGGTTTTCTAACCTGCGAGCTGGCAGCTAGGGGTAAGAGAGTGGCTAGCGTCTCGAAATCTGGGTGCATACCGAGGCAGGCGGGAGTTAGCATACCCTTACCCTAAACCCTGTGCGCTCGAGCGGGCTTTACCAATCATGACATGTTCCGCAACAGCAGCGCCGCGCCGCGGTCTTTAACGGCCGTGTACGATCGTAGCCTCGTAGGCCATTTTGCGGGGCATGGGAAGGAGGCTAGGATCTCCCTGGGGGTCCCAGTTCGCTCCCAGCGTGTAGCAGCGATTGTATTGGCGAGCACACTTCACTCGTCCTCCCTATCGCTATCGCATGGGGAACAGGCCACGGCGATAAACACGGAATGTGGAACGTAAAAACGGAATTTGGAATGGAAAACGGAAGTGTGAATGGAAAAAATGGAATGGAAATCGGCATGGCACCTATCGGCCACCGTACATCCCTCTCTTGTCTCCTTTTCTTTTTATACCATCCCTATATGCCTCCTTTTTAAATTCGCAGGATTTTTTATTTACTCGTCACTAAGTACGGTAGGGATGACACAGGTTGTCCTGCATTATGCCCATAATTTTGAGATTTTCATGTTTCACTTTCTATTTCAATCAGATCCAACTTTTGACACATCAGACTAATTTGTATCATCACAAAGAGCATGTATCCAAGAAATAGCTTGAATCACATAATTGGTACTTCTTTAATTCAAAAAAGTCAGTTTTCAATTTTCTTGTTGTTGTTGTTGTTGTTCAGTTTAGACATCTGAAAAACCGGGTAAGATATGGATATGAAACTTTGCACAGATATTGGAATCCACGACAGGTCGTGCAAGAGCATTTTAATTTTTTTGTAAACAACAACAAATAGCCCCAGGCAATACATTATGATAGAGCAAATAAAGTGTGCTAACTGGGTAAAGCTAATACCCATGGTGATAAACTTTGTACACTCATGCAAACCATCATTACTATTTTGTAAACAACAACAAACAGCCTCATGCAATAAAAACTTGTAAAATGTGTTTGTGCCTCTAACTTGCTTATGGTTGGTCCTCTAACAATGAAACTTGGTACACTGATGTACCATGATGAGAGTTGACTGCAACAGAGATTACTTGTTTTTAAACAACAACAAACAGCCTCAGGCAATAAATACTTGTAAATGATGTTTGTGCCTCTAACTTGCTTATGGTTGGTCCTCTAACAATGAAACTTGGTACACTGATGTACCATGGTGAGAGTTCATCGAAACAGAAATTCCAAGTTTGTAAACAACAACAAACAGCCTCAGGCAATAAAAAGGTGTAAACTATATTATTGCCTATAACTTGCTTATGGTGGGACGGACCTCTAACAATGGAAATTGGTACACTGATGTTCCACGATAAGAGTTGATCGAAACAGAAATTATAAGTCAACAAACAGCCTCAGGCAATGAATACTTGTAAATGATGTTTGTGCCTCTAACTTTCTTATTGTGGGTCCTCTAACAATGAAACTTGGTACACTGATGTACTATTGTGAGAGTTCATCGAAACAGAAATTACAAACAACAACAAACAGCCTCAGGCAATTAAGTGCTGTTTTCCTGTTAACTTTGTACACTTATCTACTTTCTAAGTGAAATATATTAATGTAGATGACGACTAACAGTCCGAGGCAGTAAATACGTGTTACTTTATATATGGACATTATGCCCCAATGCATGTGCATGCAGTAAAAAAAGGAAAGGAGACAAGTAAATAAACAGTTCTGCGAATTAAAAAGTGTGGAATATAGGGATGCCATTAAAAGCAAGGAGACAAGACAGGGATGACCTGGGCATGTGATGCAGTAGTACAATGGGATGATTGTTACATCTTCAAACTGACATTCTTGCTCATGTAAATTTTACTCCACACAAGCCCTATATTGTCGCAAAGCACTAGTGATCTCTATCGTATGATGTGCAGCAATGACTCCTTTCCTATGCACGTAAGACTGGTAGCAAATGCCCTATCTGACAGGTCCTCAGGTGACTGTGTTTACTTCAATGTTCGCTCAACTAACATGTTTTACAATGCTGCTTTCTCTACAGAATTCGTTTGCCAGTCTTCACACTACATTATTCAAAACTCATGTCATGAGTAAGAGCGGCGACAGTATAGGGCTTGTGTGGAGTAAAATTTACATGAGCAAGAAATGTCAGTTTGAAGATGTAACAATCATCCCATTGTACTACTGCATCACATGCCCAGGTCATCCCTGTCTTGTCTCCTTGCTTTTTATGCCATCCCTATAATTATTCCACACTTTGTAATTCGCAGAATTTTTTATTTACTTGTATATATAGGGATTGGCATGGTACCTAGCATCATAGATGTATGGGGCTATAATAGGGAGTTTTGTTCTTCTCCCTTCTTCTTCTTCAGATTCAACACCAATAACTCAAAAACCAAACAACATAAAGTAATGAAAATTTGTAACAATGTAGATATCCATCACCTGGAGAGACTGGTCATACTTATTTGTTTGTAAATATAGGGTTTAAACCCCTTTAGACCCAGTTAACGTCAGAGGGCAGTGCAAGTGGGATGGTAGAATGAGTGCCGCGCATGCGCGTACATGGTGACCGCAAGCACACGTGGCAGGATCTGCGCCTTCACAGCCGCAAGGAGCCGCTTTCTTCTTCTTTTTTTGTCTTCTCTCTTCCGCGCCGAATTCTGGTGTTGCGTGGCAACATATAGTGTTGGGTTGTGTGCTCCTGTCGGTCATATTGCTTACATGCTCCCTGTATGTTATGCATATAGGACCACATAAGTCTTCCGGGTCTCATAATATTATTGTGAGCACCCACTTGAACTCCATTCCAGGCTCGGAGGGTGTGGTCCTACCCAAAGCGGGGGGGTTGACCCCGGAGGGACGGTACATTTACATGGACGATCTTCTGAAACTGGATGCCTGCCGGCCACCTCAGGCAATAACAGTGCCTCCTCGGGTTGATAGTATAAACATCCCCCTGCACCTAGAGGTCTGGCGGGTAGAACTAAAGGACCACCCAGATGAGGTGTATGTCCGCTATATATTGTCTGGCATCAAGGATGGTTTCCGCATAGGTTATGACTATGCGGTACACACATGTGCCAGCTCGGGCAAGAACATGCAATCAGCTGCAGCTCATCCTGAGCCGATCGACAAGTATATGGAGGAGGAGGTCTCATTGGGTCGTATGGTGGGGCCACTGGATTCCCAGTGGAGGTCGTCTATCCACATCAGTCGCTTTGGCGTGATCCCAAAGCCACACCAACCTGGCAAGTGGCGGTTAATAACAGACTTGTCCTCTCCGAATGGCACTAGTATCAACGATGGAATCGACAGCCAGCTCTGCTCCCTGTCCTATGCTTCGGTTGATGACGCCGTTAGATGCATTGCCCATTTGGGAAAGGGCACAAAGCTGGCGAAGTTTGATATCGCCAGTGCATACAGGGTGATGCCAGTGAGTCCAGACGACTGCATGCTGCTAGGAATGCTCTGGAGGGGGATGCTATATGTCGACGGGGCTCTGCCGTTTGGCCTCAGATCAGCCCCGAAATTGTTTACGCCGTAGCGGACGGCCTCTTGTGGGTTATGGCAGGCATGGGTGTCCAACGCACTTCACTATCTCGATGATTTCTTGATCATGGGCCCTCCCCACTCCAAGGAGTGTGAAGGGGCTCTTCGGAATCCTTGGCGTGTGCGAGTCTCTTGGATTCCCATCGCCAGCCACAAGGTGAAGGTCCGGCCACAGCTTGGCATTTTTGGGGAATTGATCGATTCAGAGGCGGGCGTCTTGAGATTGCCAGCAGACAGCTGGCACGGCTGCAAGATATCATTAGGCAGTGGCAGGGCAAGCGAGCCTCTACAAGAGAGACCTTCTTCTCGCTGATTGGTCATCGAGCCACGCTTGCAGAGTGGTGAAGTCTGGTCGCACGTAAGGCGTATGATTGACCTCTCCGCTACTCCAAAGGAGTTGCACCACATGGGTCAGGTGAACAAGGGTTTCCAGTCAGATCTCAACTGGTGGGCAGCATTTTCTCGAGGGCTGGAACGGGGTTTCCCTGTTCGGTGGAGTTTTTCGCCAGCAGGCATCGGCGACAGTGACATCAGATGCATCAGGGAGTTGGGGCGTGTGGGGCCTACAACAACTCAGGTGCCTGGTTTCAGTTCAGTTGGCCGGAATCGTGGGCGCCAGATTCACATCACTACAAAGGAGCTGCTACCAATCATTGTAGCATGTGCAGTATGGGGCCAGGCATGGCAAGGAAGATGGTATGTTGCTGGTGCGATAACGCTGCAGTTGTCGCTATTATTCGCTCCGGGTCCGCGAAAGACCCTATCACCATGCATCTCATGCGTTGTCTCTTCTTCTTCACGCAGCTACAACTGGTTCTTGAACCAAGGCACGTTCCGGGCAGGGAGAATACAGCGGCAGATTACCTGTCTCGTGACGCCTTGTCATCCTTCTGCAGATAGTTCCGCACGCCCAAGAGCTCCCAACCGAGTACCAGAAGATGCTGATGCGGGCGTTGGTGCATCAAATGCCGGACTGGGACATCAGAGCCAGTGGGGAGTCGTGCTGCGTTCTATTTTGCCAACGGTCTCGCAGCCTCCTCCCAGGAAAACCTACAAGTCAGGAGAAAATCGCTACCTAAGCTTCTGCACCAAACTGCAGTGTCCCGCCCCTCCCCTAACGGAGTCGACTTTGTGCAAGTTCGTGTTGTACCTTAGCTGATGAACCTCTGCAGTTCCGTACCATTAAGACATATTTATCAGGATTGAGATTAAAGTCGGGCCACGGCGACCCATTTAGCGCCATCATGCCCACGTCTCGACTACGTTCTGAAGGGCGTGAAGCGGGTGCAGGCAAACCATGGGGGGTAATCGCCGAGAACGCTTGCCGATAACACCAGATATATTGCGGAGTTAAAGGGGGTGTGGGCCTCCACATCTTCCGATCTCCCGACAGCAAGCTCATATGGGCGGCCTGCTGCCTCTGCCTTCTTCGCCTTCTGAGGGTGGGAGAGATGACGACTCCTGATGCGAAGTCGTATGATCCGGTGAGTGCATCTGTGCTTGTCAGATGTGGCGGTGGACAGTGCTCGAAAACCCGTCATTTGTCCGGATCTCGATTAAACAATCGAAGACGGACCATTTCGGCGAGGAGATCTGTCTATTCGTTGGACGTACAGACGCCGAGCTCTGCCCAGTGGCAGCGATCCTCTCTTTCCTACTTGCAGAGGTTCAGCCCCGGCCCTCTGTTTAGGTTTGCATCCGGGGAATACCTCACGAGAAAGCGCTTTGTGGAACTAGTCAGAGCTGCCTTGACTAGAGCCGGCATAGAGCAATTCAAAGTATTGTGGGTCACAGTGTTAGGATCGGTGCCGCAACAACAGCCGCCGCACGGGGTATTGAAGACAGCATCATTAAAACGCTAGGTAGGTGGGAGAGTGTTGCCTACCTACAGTATGTCCGTATTCCCAGGGAGCGCCTGACACAGCACTCCAGAGTCCTGGGGTCACCCTGATTAGCCTCATCTCGATTGTCAGTCATTTGTTTGTGGGTCACCCAAGTAATCTGCATTCCACTGTCATAGTTGTTATTTTATGTTGGTGTCAAGGGTTGTGAGGTACGTGTTTTGTGGGAGGATAGGCTTTGGCCAACCTTGGGCATGTTCATGGAGGAGGGTGTTCCCCTCTTCCATGGTTCCTCCCCAAAACACGTCTTATGACGTAAGGGGAGGGGCTACCCTGCCCCTCACTTTCGCCAAACCACACAAGTCTATGGCTTGTGGCATGCTGTGGGAGCATCAGTGTGGAGTAAAATTTACATGAGCAAGAAATGTCAGTTTGAAGATGTAAGAATCATCCCATTGTACTACTGCATCACATGCCCAGGTCATCCCTGTCTTGTCTCCTTGCTTTTTATGGCATCCCTATAATTATTCCACACTTTGTAATTCGCAGAATTTTTTATTTACTTGTATATATAGGGATTGGCATGGTACCTAGCATCATAGATGTATGGGGCTATAATAGGGAGTTTTGTTGTTGTTGTTGTTCTTCAGATTCAACACCAATAACTCAAAATCCAAACAACATAAAGTAATGAAAATTTGTAACAATGTAGATATCCATCACCTGAAGAGACTGGTCATACTTATTTGTTTGTAAATAACGTTGTTTACTGTAAACAAAAACAAATAGCCCAAGGCAATATATTAACATGTCACAAATGGTAAGAACTATGTGAATGAAACTTTGTAGACATAATGTATTTAATCACCAACATCAAAATTACAACAATACATGTTTGTAAACAACAACAAATAGCCCTCAGGCATTTTTCTTTACATTTACTTCTTCACTCCTCAAACTCTCCAATGGTAGCACACACAGAGATGAAACTTGGTAAGTATGCCTATTGTATGACGATTACATGTTTCCATGACGACCGCATTTTGTTTGAAGAGGTAATTTTCTTTACCACTTCTTCACTCCTCAACAGAAAGGGAGACAAGATAGGGATGGGATACATGAAGCATGGTTAATGAACAGATTTGCATGAGTACGCTGACACCCCCAACGCCATCACACAATCCCTATAATGTTGCCTGGTGTGCTACTCTTATAGGGGCTAAAAAAAGCAAGCATTCTTTCACCGTCTCCCTATTGTTTTTAAAATTTATACTGCCACATTCCCTTTAATTAAACTCCACTTCAACTCTATATATAAGGGTGTTGGTTACTCAGTAGTGTATTGTAAGTTCTGAGTATTGTAATGGAATACTTCACCTAGGCAACAATATAGGGATAGTGTGGTGGGGTTGGGGGGTGTCAGCGTACTCAAATCTGTTCATTAACCATGCTTCATGTATCCCATCCCTATCTTGTCTCCCTTTCTTTTTATACCATCACTATATGCCTCTTCTTTAAATTCGAAGGATTTTTAATTCACTTGTCTCCACTCATTTTTATATCTGTGGAAGGTGGGAAGTCCTATAAAAATTAATAATAGAGAAAAAATGCAAGTTGTCGTCATGGAAATGATATGCATACCAAGTTTCATCTCCATGCGTGGTACCGTTAGCGAGTGAAGAAGTAATTTTAATGAAAAGTGCCTGAGGCTATTTGTTGTTGTGGTCGTCATGGAAACGATGTAATACACATGCACACCGAGTTTCACTTCCATGCGTGCTACAATTAGCAAGTTTGAGCAGTGAAGAAGTGGTTTTAAAGAAAATTGCCCGAGGCTATTTGTTGTTGTGGTCGTCATGGAAACAATGTTACACACATGCGTACCAAGTTTTATCTCTATGAGTAGTACCGTTAACGAGTTTGAAGTAAAGAAAAGTGACTGAGGCTATTTGTTGTTGTGGTCGTCATGGAAATGATGTTACACACATGCGTACCAAGTGTCATCTCCGTGTGTGGTACCTTTAGCGAGTTTGAGGAGTGAAAAGTGCCTGAGGCTATTTGTTGTTCTGGTCGTCATGGAAACGATGTAATACACATGCACACCGAGTTTCACTTCCATGCGTGCTACAATTAGCAAGTTTGAGCAGTGAAGAAGTAGTTTTAAAGAAAATTGCCCGAGGCTATTTGTTGTTGTGGTCGTCATGGAAACAATGTTACACACATGCGTACCAAGTTTTATCTCTATGCGTAGTACCGTTAACGAGTTTGAAGTAATTTTAAAGAAAAGTGCCTGAGGCTATTTGTCGTTGTGGTTGTCATGGAAATGATGCAATACATAATTATGTGCACCAAGTTTCACCTCCATGCGTGCTACAATTATCAAGTTTATACCATCACTATAATGCCTTTTTTAATTTTTAATTGACTTGTATGAAATAACAAGGATGTCCTGGAAAATTATACAGGAAGTGATATCCGTTGGGTTAAAGGCTGGGCGGGAACTATATAGGCCACCAGTCAATTACCCCCACAAATAAATATAGGTTAGAGCTGGGTAATTTAAATCGCACAATCTGATTGGTCCATGCGCGGACTCTAATTCGAGTAGAGCAAATTTTACGGACTCTAAATAAACTTTCTCCGGACTCTAAATTTGGCGCATGCGCAATGGCTCACTTACGTTGGGCGGAGTCCCCGAACGGTCTGCGAAAGTACGGAGAGGCGAGCCCGTTGTCGACGTCCTCCCTGGGCCTCTCGCTCGACTTCCCAGCGAGAAAGCAGCGCTCGTTCGCGGTTTCACATGCACCGAATTTGAATTGCGCGCACGCGTTACCATAGCTCTAAACAAGTTAGACGCCTCGTCCATGGAAACTACGCGCATTAGAGCGCCTTGGGGGCCCTTAGTAGCGTCCTCGCTGCGCTCGAACGCCGACAGTCCGGGGCCCCCGCGGCTCTCTAATGCGCATAGTTTCCTGGACTCGGCATCTAACTTATATTTATACTGCGCGTCAATGGAAATACGCGATTTAGACTGCACGAGGGGCCCTGAGCTGTAGCTGTCTGAGCGCAGCGAAGACGCTACTAAGGGCTCCGAGGCCGTCTAAATCATGTATTTCCATTGACAAGCAGTATAACCTGTTTAGACGAGGCCGTGCCGGCCTTCAAAATCGTCCAGGTCCGCTCGGGAAGCTAAAAAGGTCTTCAGTTTAGTTTCTTTTTGCATCGTAGAGAGGCCTTTCATCGAAGAAGCATCGGATATAGCGAGTTTGAAGTCGTCGCGGCGAGCTCTCAGCGACAGAGCGAGTTTCTTTGCGCGGAAGCTTGCCACACCCCCATCGAAGACGCCCATTTTTGACGGGCGTCTCCATGGAAACACGCACTTGGAAAATAGAATCCACGTTTTACGCAATCTGATTGGTCAATTTGAATCTGCCGACGTCTAAGGGGAGTTGGGAACCGCATATAAGCCCGGACATCCGCCAACCCTTGACAGGATCGGTGAAAGTCATGGCAGGATGGAAGGGGTGAGAGGCACTCACCCCTTCCTGTAGGGGAGACAGTAGTGAGTTAAACCACTCGTTTCTAGGCTTTGCAGTGAACGTGATAACAGACGGACTGACAAGTACTGTAACCGTCGCTGCGTATGCGCGCCGAGGGTAACATTATTCTGCGACAACTGTCTTATACTTGGTCTTACCGCATTATAAGGCGACATGACATTCTTCTAATCACTCCATCCCAGAAACGTTAGAGCTATTGACATGCCTGGAGTCATATCTGTGTGAGATGTAGTTACCTAGGAAGTCACTCACTTTTTACACATGCTAAGTGGGAACAATCTTGCACTGACGAGACTACTTAGGTACACTGTATGTAGGTCGTTGTGCACATACATTTTAGCTGCTGTTCAGTTGATCATAGGGCTTTTTGTGGAGAGGTGCACATGTTGTACAGTAGTCATAACAAAATGTTGTGTACTGCAGTGTTCTGCTGTGATGGTGTTGCTCACCTTTTTGAATGCTTACACAATATGGATACTGGATCTATGTAGTCTGGCGTAGCCTACCTATTTCAGGGGGAAGAAATAGTCAGGTGACGTTGGCATCAATGACCCGTACCCCTGGAATGCCGTGGCTACACAACACCCCAACTTTTCCATGTGATTAGTGCGTTGAGTCCGGGAACGCTCTTAGCTCTGTTACCATCGGTACACTACTAACCCTGGTCTTTGACGATGGCTTGCACCAGTGCAGTCGACAAGGAACTCTCTCAAGCATTTGCTCGCTCACAAAAGCGTCAAGAGGATCCCCTTTCAACAACTAAACTATGACGTAACCACGCATACTGATTACATTCCACGCCATCCTGCAATCTGATTGGACGGCAACTATAGTTGCAGAGAGGGTCGTTGATGTCAACGTCACCTGCAGCTGACTATTTCTTCCGCATGAAATAGGCAGGCTACGCCAGACTAGGATCTATGTTGGTCACTGACATGCGTTGCCACTGTGAATGCACTACTGGCGTAACGTCTTCACAACCGGTAGCTTCCAAACTTGGTTTTTCCACTGGGGTCCATGTGCTGTGTTTCTCTGCGTGTTATAGTCAACTTTGTATCTGCACTATTGACAGGTTAAACTGTTGCAGCCGTTGGATCCCTGACTTGATGAAGAAAGTTTCTGCTAGTTTTCTGCTCAGGAAACTGGACTGACTGCAAACACACAACTACCGTAACCCTCACTGCGCATGCGCGCAGAGGGTTATTATACCACTAACATCACTAAAAACTACCTTTTTTTCACACATCAAACGCTGCCAGGGCAACTCACATTTGGACACAAAAATGGTAACATTGATATTCACAATGCATTCAGCGTCGGATAAAGGTCGAAGTGTAAGTGGGGTTTTCTCTGAAGCTGCTGCGTTCAGGAGTTATGGCGTGAACACGAGTGAAACATTAGAACTGGCTTACCTCGAGCGGGTCTGCTTACTCTGTGTGTCTTGAAGGGACAAGAAGTCACAACGAAGGGTGTGTATCGACTCCCGCATGCAATCTACTGCTGTAGCTAGCCAGTGTCAGACTCCGCGAGCTAATAGCGTGGAGACCACATAGTCATAGTCCATTAGCGGTAACGTGCATGCGCAGTTCACAGAGGATTTGCACTTCACTGCTTTTTCATTCTTGCTCAAATAACCAACCATGAGATATTGAAACGGGAAGAATTTTTACGTGGCTGACAGAACATTCAGTTAAAATTTATAATATTCTGTCCATTGCAGGTTGACCGTCAGGAAAAGTCTAGGCGTTATAGCACATGCACTGTGTTTTTGTTCTGCGCAGGAAACAACTGTTCATAGAATATCACCAAAGTTTTATATATAGCCTCATGCCAAAAGTATGCTTCAATGAACCTATTTTTTGTAATGTGTATACCCCCTAACGTTGATGTAAGCCTAACACGCTGTTATCCACGCATGTGTTTAAGTTGCTTTTCAAGAGAATAAATCATTTAGTGATTGTTGGAAAGTGATATAAACACACGAAAATAAAAATCACACTATTCACTGCATGAAGGACATCATGTATACTATAGGTACAACTTGAACGTGACAAAGGTACACACACCAGAAAAAGGTTGCAGGGGTAGCAAGAGAAGGAAGTGATTGCAGTTTAGAAAGTCAGTTATCTAGTAATGGACACCCCAGGAACAGTAAATATTGACGCATCTGAGTATTTGAAAAGGAAAAAACATTCCAATGGCTATAATAGTGTACAGCCTAATCAACTTGCTCATATACACATTGTAAGCGAAACTACCCACTAAAAAGAGTGTGGTCATTAACCCATGCATGTGCAGATAGTTCTTGGTGTGCATGTCAAGGGTGTTCGTCTGTTTGTGTTTATGCTGTATCTCCTGTGCACTGTAAATTGCTTTCAGTTTGTTGTTGAAATATTAATCAAAATAACTTTCTTACCGTCAGGAATGGAGTAGACTTCTGGTGGTAGGCAGGAGAAGTATGAGTGGTGGAGGGCATCACTGGCTTTCATCCTCTGAGCTGGCAGTAGTTGCAAGATCTGGGCAGCCAGGTCACCACTCATTGTTGATGGGTGGAGCCTGGAGGGGGTGAGAACATTCCGTAACCTTACACAAAGACCTCCAAAATGATGACGGACAAACGTGGATTTCTTGGCTATGTACACAACATGGCAATAGTCAAATCGACATTTGACTTCATCACATGTGTAGTGTGGCATTGCCATCCCCTCTCAAAACATTTAGGTAAGGTTTGTTTAGCATCAATGACTACATGCGCAAACTAGGATGCACACGAAAAAGCGAAAACAAAGGTACTCATTAAGACTACTAGTATAAAAGAGATAAGTAGCTCACTGAAGCTTCAGTAGTAGTCTAAATAATGTTTACAGAACACTATTATGTATGTGGAAAAAGCCAAAAACTTACAACTTACAATGATGTATGTGGTGCAAGCTTAGGTTGTATAAAAGCACACTTTTGCTACTCCAGGGACCAGGATAAATGCTGTTTTCCGGACAAGCACAGAGAATTGTTTGAAAGTCTGACGGATGATACACTTCCAGTTTCGTTTCTGTGTTTGAACGCCATAATGGTAAACAATTTTAGAAACGTTTTTCACGTCTGCTGTAGCAGCAGTGCTCTCATAGGCCCGGGAGCAGCCCAGCACCTCCTGTGAACTTTTACCATGAAGACTTAGCACACTACATCACCCTTCCTATGTGGCTATCTGCGAAAAAATCTAGTGTCATCATGTAGTTGCATGCAATCTGATTCGATTGTGCAGAACTTTGACAGTGGGCACAAGTTACTGATGCAAAGCAGACCAGATGAGTCTCCACTTTTTATGTGAGGGGTGTAGCTATGCTTGACAAATGAAAAACACTCGAAAGAGAGTATGTTGGGTGATTTAAAAATCAAACAATTGTGCGTACATGATTGTGTTCACAGACAGAGTTTTAGGCACAGGAGATTAACAAGTGTGTAGATTGTAGTCGCAGCTTACATAGGTGAGATAGAATCCAGTCCTTTAGGAGTATCATATTTCCTGAAGTGATCTGTAGAATGCATTCAATAATTGTGTTTTGTACACCATTCCACTACACAACTGCTTCTAACTCATTACGGACGACACAGAGATTATTGCACCATCGGCAGTTTTTCTACGTTCAGCAGGGAAGATGCTTCGCGTGATTCTCTCGCGAGTTGTTGCCTTACAGCTATATAGCACAGAGGTTTGTTGCAGAACCAGATCGAAAGGGAAATGATGCTGGGACAGTACCAAAGGCAAGTAGTGCATGAATGTATGTTTGCGCTGCCCAAAGTGGTACGTTACGCAGACTAAAGCTTTGACCCCTGACCTGTTTGGTACACAAAATATAGTACATACATAGTTTAGAAAAGGGCTATATGTATTAGTTATTACATCCCTAAGAGGTACCGACCGATTAGGGGTGTGATAATTGATTTATAGCCTGTGTTGCTAGGTGGTTTAACGTCATCCCTAGCAACAAAGCACGCGCTTTTCCGTAATATTCTAGTTGCGCTCCATATACTCGTGAGGTATGAATCGCTGAAAATGGCATCGTCTTCTTCTCGACAGAAACTTGCGACTACGGGTGGAGGACTGGACAGATTCCGACGAGAATGAGCCACCCCCAAGGGAGAAGGAACCTCCGGCGAAGATAAAACGCCTCTCGCTGCCAAAGAAAGGCCGCGACAACGGCCGTCGCCGTTTCTGTCAATCGCGGAGGAGGCCGCTCTGTCGGAGAAGTGTGTTCTGCAAAACACCGCGATAAGCACGAAGTGGGCTGTGTCTAACTTCGAGTGTTGGCGCAAAAGGCGTAACAAAACGTTCAACCTTGAGCCGGAGAGACAGGTACCCAACGGTCTATTGTTAGGTCAGCACCTAGCTGTGTCGCAAGTTTTGGCAGTGTCACCTATCAGCAGCAGTTCTCAATGCAATCTAATTCCATTATTTCTATGCCTGTGCCACAACCTCATTGTTTCAACTCATTTCCACCGGGTCATCAGCAACATGTTGGCACTTCACCTCATACCAATGCTGTAAATCATGACTAAGAGTGTTACTTCAGCTGTAAACTGTTCACCTATGCTATTTGTACATAATGTGTACATATGCTACTCGTACGTGTTTACGCATTTGCCCTCTCGTGCAGGTGTATACAAGACCTTGAAGTCAGTTGGAGTATCAACTACAGACACAACTGCCCACGATCAGCATTCTAAGCTTATTTCCTAGCCTTTTCATTCATAAATAGCTTTACCTAAAGTCTTGTGTCACTATACTTCATGTATAACATCGTGTTTGGTGCATCTATGAATTTGGTTTGTTTGCGTTGTTTTAGCAGCCACAAAGATAGATGCCACCTACAGGCATTAAAGTACTCCAGGGGGTTTCCCAGTTGTAGGTGGGTGTAGCCTTGAGGCGTGGCTGGCTGCTATTTCTGAAACAGACGCGAGCGAGTAAGTACACACAACGCGTCTGCTTGTCACAGCGCCTGTGACATCTGTCCTTAGGGCAGGGTAATTCCTGTCACATACACTGTAACATTCGTCCACAATAACACTCAGTAAGACCTGTGATCCACTAGAACCCTTCTGTGTATTCAATACTTACAGGGTTTATACTCGGGCAGCTTGGTGACTCCTGGCCAGGTAGCCTCTGTAGGTGTCCCTAAGATTGCCCAGATCTTGTTCAGTTGGTCATACACACCCTATGATATGAGAGAATCACATGGTACCATTAAAGTATGTTGTACGTAGCAATTCAACAAGCAAGAGTGAAAGAGACATACATGCTACTTTGAAGAGAGGGTTGCTATTGATACACCCGCAGAGCTAGCTCCAGAGATTTATTGATTGGGGACAATCAGCCCCCTAGCAACAAATGGTCCCAATAACAGGACGCTTACTGTTTGCTGGTCAAATTGTCCCTTGGAAAGCATATTCAGAGGGAGAAATGAAGAGATAGAGGGACTATGTCTGCCTGGTGTGCTATGGCGCCAGCCGTGCACCCCTCTTATTGCACTTGTGCCACTCCCAACCAATCATGTACTTAACATTTGGACGCGGAATGGAGCCCACCCTAGTGGTGCAAATGACTGAAGTATCATTAGGGATGTGACCAGTCAGCATGGAGAAGGAGCTGATACCAGCAACGCCGTTACAATCACACAATCAAACCATAATGCAGACACTATCAATCCAGCAGCAGTTGATCACAAGAGCAATACCTTGAAGTAAGGCCTAGAGGGGAGAGATGCTACATTGCAAGGCCTGATTAAAAGGCTCTAGAGGGCTAGATAATACAGTAGTGTAACAAACCTTCATTCCAGGGAATAGAGGCTTTCCTGTAAGAATTTCCACAAATATGCAGCCAACTCCCCTGGGATTGGGTAAGAGTTGCGACTGAAATTGCTTGTCTCTTGCAAGCAGCTCACCACATGTCCAGCTGGGTTGAATATTGAGTAGAGCCCATGAGTACATCAGGCGGTCTGTACCACAGGGTGACCACTTCATGGGAGTAGGTCCGAGTGGGGACTGATTTTGCCCGTGCCAGACCAAAATCAGCTAACTTTAGCTCTCCACTGTCACTGATGAGTAGGTTCTGTGGCTTGAGGTCTCTGTAAATGAATTTACTGCACTATGATTGGCAAAAAACTCCACTCCCTACCGCTGATAGGTTTTTATGTTAAGAAAGCCAGTACCTGACAGTAATAATGGGCTCGAATCATAGTTGTTTTGACCCCTTGAATAGTAAAATGTGGGTATAGGGTACACTGAAAACAATTAATTGTCTTCTGCGACGCGATGGTACAGTGGGTTTGATTAATATCATAGTTAGTGTGTGTCGTATTCTTATGTTGTGCGTGTGTAGCAAAGTTTTTTTAACACATGTATTGCATTGTATACCTCAAGCCCTTCTTCCACCTGTGGACTTGCACATGGTGAACTGCCTATGTACCACACACAGTAAGAGGATGAGAGTAACATAAAGCTCTGCAGAACGTGGTTATGGAGCCCACAGAACATTACCGAATGGTTGCAAGAGCTACAATTTCACTGGCTTCAGAATAGTGACTGATGCTGAACACGCTGCGTTGTGTAAAATTTGGTCTGAACACTGGGCCTTCTCCTACAGTTAAGTACATTCCATGAGTTTTACAATGGGTGTTGGTGAGGCTGGAACGGGGGCGGACAAGGTCAAACATACCTATGTCATGAAGGTCACGATGAGCATCCATCTTAGAGCAGTTATACCAAGTTTAACACCACCAAACACAGACATGTGCCCAAAAAGAACTATCAGGGGCTTGGATGCTTAGCACTCTCTTTTTCCAGAGCAGAACCCAAAAAGTTGAAACTGAAGCCAACATACCACTCAGTCAATTTTTTTGGCTAGCTTGGTGCACGTGGTGGCAAAACTGTGGCTACTAAAAACAACCCTCACTGTGCACATGTGCCGAGGGTTAATAAGACTATGTATAGGCAGCAACGTATGATATCTTGATATGTATCTAGTCATAGATGTTCCGTGTAACCGTGTCATTTTCACTACTAAAGACTCTTCGTACCTGTGGAGAATCTTTCGTCGGTGGCAGAAGTCCAGTCCTCTGATGAGCTGAAACATAAAGAGTCGGACATTGTTTGGGTCGAGGGGGCCTGGCCGCTTCTCCATGTAGTGACTGAGGTCTGTATCCTGCAAGTGAATTGCCATGCACAATTTCCTACACAAAAAACTTTAGGGATTATCTGAGAACCATGACATGTACTGTATATACATATGTGGTATTATCTGGAAAAAAACATTTCAGCTTTCAGTCTCACAACAACAATGTATGTAAATTGTGCAGAATAGCTTACCACATATTCAAAGACGAAAGTGAGATTGGTGGAAGTATGTATGATATCATGTAAAGTGACAATGTTGGCATGTTTTAGTCCCTTCAGCAAGGATGCTGCAGTAATAAAAAAATAACTGAGTGAAGCCACTTCTGTACATAGCAACATTATGTGAAAAATCTGGATGGAGTTCCAAGCATGCACTCTGCACAATGATTCTTTAGCAGCATTTGTAGCACACTGTCTATTTTAGTGATACCCAATTCTCTGTAAACTGTACTCGGCATCCATATGCTACACTACTTGGCTTGGGTGTGTTTGTCTGTCTGTTACCACTATTCTAATTCTACAGAGGAGGCCTACAGTCCTCCAAAACACTACTCACTCATGATGCTGGACATACCGTCAGCTCACCTACTGTCGCAGTTACCGTATTATCGCCAAAGAGCTAGTTGTCGAACACTGGCGCCTCCTACCTATGATTGCGCATGCCAGGACACGTGCCTCATTTTGATATGCGACTTCGGCGGCTTGCCCTGGTTCTGGCCGGTGTATGACTACTTTTCTGGCTGCTATTGTTGGTGGTTTAGTGTCTCAAGCCCTGGCGATGGGCGAAAAGAGATGGCAACACTGTCCAAACCGTAAGTTTCCACGTCAGATAGACAGATCGTGCCTGTACCCACAAAAATGAGTGCTCCTAGCCAGACTTGGCCAAGTTTGAGCCACTTGTGCCCCATTTTCAGTAATTTTTCTTTCCATCCCTGCTAGGGAGAATGATGCAGTCAATAAGCGTCTGAAGTGCCGAGATGAGGACATGGTAGATGCCATCACTGCTGTTAAGGACCAGAACTTAACCGTCACAGCTGCTGCAAGGAAGTATAATGTCCCTCGTAAAACTCTAGATGACCAAATCAAGGGCAAGGTGATGGTATATACACATCCGGGTGTGTCGACTGTTTTAACGGCCGAGGAGGAAAGTGCTCTTGTGTCTTGCCTTGTCTACATGGCTAATCGTGGCTATCCTTTGACACACACATTAACAAAAGCATTCGCTATGGCTTTTGCCATAAGGAGTGGCAACGAGGGTCGTTTTAGAAAGGAGGGTCATTCTGACAGCGTCATCCCGAAGTTACCCCAAGGAAGCTCGACAAATTAGAACGTAGTGATTGTCAAGCAATATTTCGAACTTCTTGAGGGTGGCCTGTAGAAAGGCTGTGGCACTGAAAGGAAGCAGGAATACAAACATGCAGGCACAGGGTACATCGGAACATATACTGTAAAACCATTAATTTTAGCGTGCCATTAATGTTAGCGATATTAGCGTTTCTTTAGTAAACACTAATTTTTGTGGACACCAGTATAAATACTAATGCACATGCGCAGTATACCCCGTGGTTGCAATGGCGTCCTTGTACCCCTGGCTGGAAAAGACCTCGGTTGCAGTTGCTTCCAAGTCCAGCAGCAGTCGGTGCACTTCAGCTGCCAATGCCAGCTGCTACTGTAGTGTGTATGGTGGACAGGATTTTTACCCTCGGCGTGCATGCGCAGCGATGGTACAGTAGTTGGGTCTGTGCGTGTGTGTTACTCAACATCTCACTTCTCCAATGATCTTTCGTCTCACAAACGATACGACTTACTTAACGGGCCGTGAAGGTCAGAAAATTTGTGCGGTTTTCTTTGAAAATGCTCCGTTGCAAAGCTAGAGCGCTTCCAGCATTGTACGGCTAATGCATAGTCGGCTATTTTTTATCGCTGCGGAAAATGCGCATGCGGTTATATGCTAATTAGCACAAGCTTACCTCGACCGGGCCGCTTGCTCTGTGTATCTTGAAGGCATAAGAAGTCACAACGAAGAGCGTGTATCAACTCCTGCAGGCTATCTACTACTGTAGCTAGTCCGTGTCAGACTCCGTGAACTACTATCGTGGAGACCGCGACTAAACACATATATACCAAAAGCCCAGCCCATCAAATAGTGGTACCGCGCGTGCGCAATTCGCCGAGGGTTTGCACTTCAGTGCTTTTCATTTAAACAGAAGCCATGTGAGTGTTTGGGCGTGCAACACTGTGCTTTGTGTAAGTAGCAGGAAAACCTAACTTTAGTGGATGTTAATATGTTGCTTTATAAAAACGCTAACTGTAATGACGCTAACATTAATGGTAACTATGCTTTGTGCTGTGTCTGCTATGGGTCTGCCTCTAACCCTAATGATTATTTATTCCAAGTCTTTCCCAGGTGGTCAGTTCCGCTTTGATTCTGAGCTCTTTTTAACGTGGTTTCCCCATTAACCCTCGGTATGCATGTACAGCGATGGTTACAGTAGTTGTGTGTGTCTGTCAGTCTGTCCATTACCCAATCTCCCTTCACGAGCCATTAATAACTCCACAACCAACAAGTAAACAAAAAATCCATGGAGCAAGGTTAATGAACAGATTTGAGCACACTGACACCCCCAACCCCATCACACAATCCTTATATTGTTGCCTGGTGTGCTACTCCTATAGGGAATGTGACTAAAAGCTTTCACCTTGTCAACCCTCGGCGCGCATGCGCAGCGAGGGTTACAGTACTTGTTCTGTCCGTCTGTCCGTCTGTCCACGTTTTCTGCCACCACGCGGGACAAACAGGGAAAATAGCGACATCAATGGGTTTAGCGCTACACCCGCTTCATTTTTAAAATGCCGAATTTTGTAAAAGTGCCGCGTTCAGAAGTTATGGCATGAAAACCAAGTGAACAAGTCAATATGCAAATTAGCACAGGCTTACCTCGACCGGGTCCGCTTGCTCTGTGTACCTTGGAGGCACAAGAAGTCACAACGAAGGGCGTTTATTGACTCCCGCATGCTATCTACTACTGTAGCTAGCCCGTGTCAGACTCTTCGCGAGCTACTCCGCGAGTAAACGGATTACTACAAATAGCCCAGCCCATCAATTAGCGGTACCGCTCATGCGCAGTTCGCCGAGGGTTTGCACTTCATTATTAACATTTCTAATTTTACACTGCCATATTCCCTTTAATAAAACTCCACTTCTATAATGGTGTTGGTTACTCAGTATCATGACTGTTTTTGTATTATAATTTCTGAGTAATGTAATGGGGAATGTTTAATACTTCACCTACGCAACAATATGTATTAGTTAACGTATAGGCGGCGAGGCGGTACAGGAGATACTCCGAGGCTGTTGACTATACCGGACGAGGGCGTAGCCTGAGTCCGGTATAGTTAACAGCCGAGGAGGATTTCCTGTACGCGCCAAGATGCCTGCCGTTCTCTGATTTGGAGTCCAACTAGCCAATCACAATGCTGAATTTGTGCTGTCTCATCCTGCACTAATGCACTAATGAAAAGCACTGAAGTGCAAACCCTCGGCGAACTGCGCACGCGCGGTACCACTAATTGATGGGCTGGGTTTTAGTATGCGTTTACTCGTGGTATCCACGCTAGTAGCTCGCGGAGAGTCTGACACGGACTAGCTACAGTAGTAAATAGCATGCGGGAGTCGATACACGCCCTTTGTTGTGACTTCTTATTCCTTCGAGATACACAGAGCAAGCGGCCCGGTCAAGGTAAGTTTGTGCTAATTAGCATTATATCCGCATGCGTATTTTCCGCAGAGAAAAAAAAATGGCCGACTATGCATTAGCCGTACAATGCTGGAAGCACTCTAGCTTTGCAACGGAGCATTTTCAGAGAAAACCGCCTTTATTTTCTGACCTTCGTCGCCCGTTGGGTAGATGGTATCGTTTCTGGGACGAACAGACGTTCGAGGAGTGAGATATAGAGTAACAGACAAACAGACAGACAGACAGACCCAACTATTGTACCCTCGCTGTGCATGCGCGCTGAGGGTAATGACTGTTGTGTAAACTTTGGAAGCCAGACAATTTACACTACACTTAGAGCTAGATGTTGTGATAAGGACTTCCTGTCCAATACTGATTGATACCTGTGAAGCCTGCAGCCCACAGCTCAGAATAAAGCGTATATTCCTAGCACCAGGTTGTTTGAAGTTGGACTACAAAGGGATTGTGTGATAGGGTTGGGAGTGTATGCGTCATCAAATAGGTTCATTAAACGTTCTTCATGTATCCCATCCCTATCTTGTCTCCCTTTCTTTTTATACCATCCCTATATGTCTCTCTCTGAAATTTGCAGCTTGTCTCCACTTACCTTTACGTATATCTCGGGGCAAGCCCCCTATAAAACTTTTAAATCCTTGTTGCCGTCACGGAAATCATGTAATACTCATGCATACAAAGTTTCATTTCCATGTGTGCTGGCAGTTGAGGAGTGAAGAAGTAAACGCGTCAGGCCATTTGTAATATGTAGTTCTAATGGGAACGACGTCATACGCATTCGTACCATACGCATGACGTCATACGCATTCGTACCATCAGTGCTACCGTTACCAAGTTTGAGTAGTGAAGAGTGCCTGAAGCTATTTGATGTTCTTCAAACAATGTGGTCGTCATGGAAACATGAAGTTGTCATGGAAACGATGCAGAAACGATGTAATACACATGTGCACCAAGTTTCACCTCCATGCGTGCTAGTTTGAGGAGTAAAGAAGTAAAGTGCCAGAGGCTATTTGTTGTTGTGGTCGTCAGGGGAACGATGTAATAAACATGCGCACCAAGTTCCACCTCCATGCGTGCTATAGTTAGCAAGTTTGAGGAGTGAAGAAGTAATTTAAAAGAAAAGTGGCAGAAGCTATTTGTTGTTGTGGTCGTCATGGGAACGATGTAATACACATGCGCACCAAGTTTCACCTTCATGCGTGCTATAATTAGCAAATTTGAGGAGTGAAGAAGTAATTTAAAAGAAAAGTGCCAGAGGCTATTTGTAGTTGTGGTCGTCATGGGAACGATGTAATACACATGTGCACCAAGTTTCACCTCCATGCATGTTGCAGTTAGAAAGTTTGAGGAGTGAAGAAAGAAAAATGCCTGAGGTCATTCCTTTTTGGGGTTGTCATGGAAACGACTGTGAACCAAGTTTCTATTATTAATTTTGTATAGGGGGCTTGCCTCCTTCTACAGAGATATGCGTAGTAGTATATAAAAATAAGCGGAGACAAGAGTAAATTAAAAATCCTGCGAATTTAAAAAAGAGGCATATAGGGATAAGAAAGGGAGACAAGATAGGGATGGGATCCTGTCGGTGGACGTGGTATCGCTCAAGAGCCGCAGCGTGAAGGAGGGGGAGGGGCTCAGGCCGTGCCGCGCGGGGTACAGACACTCAGGCAACAGGGTATCAAAGTCAATGTACTCACCTCGGAGGATCTTCTGCTTTACCTTCTCCGGCAGCGGTGGTTGCTGGGGGAGAGGCGCCTGGGGTAGAGTGTAGGGCGGCAGTGTCCTCATGCACGGCAGGCGGAGCTCCATCGGTGGGTGGGGGAGGCGGAGGATGGTTCTGGGAAAGCGGCGACGGCAGGGAGATGTTGTCGGCCATGGCAGGTGCGCGGGGAGCGAGAGGACTCAGAGTGCCGAGCGGGCGGTCCTCCATCCCTTGCAGGCTGCTGTTGACGAGGCGCTGGACCGTCTGTGCCAGGTCGTCCTCCCGTGGCCTAGTGCGGGAAGGGGTGGTCTGGGAGGGAGCTCGGGGCAAGCGACGACGAGGAGGCGGCGACGCCGACCGGGAGTGCGGTGGAGGTGTGGATCGTGCGCTCTCATATGCCTCGCGGCGACCGCGCTCTTCCTGCTGTAGGTCGGGAGGTTGAGCTCGGCGGCGATGGTGCGCAATTGCGGCGCTGTGAGGGCGAGCAGCTCGCGGCGGGACGTAGGGTGCTGGGCAGACACTGTGCAACTTTTGCCAGCAGCAGGAGCTGGGGTGCAGTGATTGCGCTGGGCAGTATAGTGCAATGAGCTAGCGAGCGAGGAGCGAGCAAGTACCTGTTCCCTGTACGGGCCTCGTTTATAACAGCTTGCCTTCTAGGGCTTCCCTGGGTTTTGTGGTACACACGTCATGGGTACGGCCTGTTAACTCGCACTTACGTACCATAATCATATAGGGATAAGAAAGGGAGAAAAGATAGGGATGGGATACATGAAGCAAACAGATTTTAGCACGCTGACACCCCCAACCCCATCACACAATCCCCATATTGTTGCCTAGGTAATGCAGTCACAACTAAAAACCGAGTAGATGGTACTATCTGTCTAATGTGCTTATTCATAGATGCGCATCATACAAGGGAGCACACTCGTACTTCGCAACAATATAGGGCTTACTTTTTTATTTACTTGTTTTTTTTACTGCATTCACATGCACATAAAAAGGGGACATTTTTGGGCATTAGCCCATAAAAAATTAACATTAGTGGCCTTAAGCTATCGCTTGAAACATTTTGCGTCATTCACATTATGTCAGTGCACCAAGTTTGATTGTGAGAGGACCCATCATAAGCAAGTTATAGGCACAAACCCATTTACAAGTTTTGATTGCCTGAGGCTGTTTGTTGTTGTTTACAAACTTGTAATGTGTACATTTTGTTACTAACGATGGGTTGTATAATGTGTACAAAGTTTTATCACTCTGGGTATTACTTTACCTAGTTAGCACAGTTTAATTGTCTCTATCATAATGTATTGCCTGGGGCTATTTGTTGGTTTTTGTTGTTTTGTAAACAAAATTGTTTATGCAGAAATAAAAATGCTCTTCCACGACCAGTCACGGATTCCAATATTTGTGCAAAGTTTCATCTCCATATCTTAAGTGGTTTTTGAGATACGCGTGTCTAAACGGAACAACAACAACAACAACAACAACAAAAAGATTTTGAAAACTAACTTTCTTGAATAAATCGATTATGCGATTTAAGCCATTTCTTGGATACATGCTCTTTGTGACGATACGGATCAGTCTGATGTGTCAAAAGTTGGACCTGATTGAAAAATCTCAAATGTATGGGCATAATGCAGGACAACCTGTACTAAGTACTACCGTACTTATTGATACCACGTATTCAGAGTCACATGAAGGTCGAAATATGTGTGGTTTTCTCTGAAACTGCTGAGTTCATGAGTTACGGCGTGGAACGCAAGCGAAAAAGCCAATTTGCAAATATAGCACGAACGTGATGGCCCACCTCGGTCTGATCTGGTTGCTCTGGGTACATTGGAGGCACCAGAAGTTGCAACGCATGGCGTGTATCGCCCCTCCCATGCTATCTAGTAGTGTAGCTAGCCTGTGTCAGACTCTCCACGAGCTGGCAAGAAACCACGAGTACGGTAGTAAAACTAAACCCAGCCCATCAATTAGTGCTACCGCGCATGTGTTTACTTACTAGTGCAAGTAGTGCGCCGAGGGTTTGCACTTTAGTGCTTTTCATTTCTCAGGTAGCTATATGTATCATTTCGCAGGTGTATGTGTCATTTTCAGTGTATGTGTAAGTTTCAATGTATATCAGTATAGTGGCGATAATGTTTTCGCGTTAGCGGCCATATAATGTTCCTGAGTAGCTACAGGGAAAGGGGAGATGCCTCTCTTTGAGTCCCACCGCCCTCTGGTTAGTAGCGCTGGTTTGCGTAAGCACTAATGGACGTGGACAGAAAACGGCGATAATAGGGGAGCCTATGCTATTACAGCAAGAAACTGACATAGTTAGCGACAGCTTGGCATGGCTTAGCCCATTAAGTAGTGGCACATCTTGCACTTGCATAGGATATTGTGTACAATACTACACTAGCGTTCCTGTGGCATCGAAGGTTTGCACTTTTCTGAAGTAGAAGTAGCTCCATTACCTCTTGTCGCTCTCATTAGGTATAACTACGCAAGGCTAGGAACCGATTTATCGAGAAAGCAAGACCGCTGTCGAAAAATGCTCTAGCAAACACTTCCGCGGCCACACACTCACACAGAACAAAAAATCTAGTTGAGGTTGTTAAACAAACCATACCTTCTCTGATAGCAGTGAAGGGAGTGCCCTCCTCTGTGTTCAGTCTGATCTCCTTCAGGGCCACCAGCTGACCAGTGATATTACTAATACCCTAAAGGTATAGGGAAGGAGGAGTGTTGACAGCAGGGAGAGACGTGAGGCAGAGAGGGTTGGAGCAAGGGAGAAAGAGATGGAGTGGTAAGGGGGGGAGACATATCACATATGTGTATGGTGTGAGAAAATAACCTTCCAATTATGGTGAACTTCGCAGAGGAAGCATGCAAGCAAATTGTATTACCCGAACAGCTTGTGTGTGAGTGTGTATGGTGTGCGTATGTGTTGAACATCACATGGCCGAAAATTTGGACTCAGGAAAACTAAACCTAACACAGAGGCAAGACATACTTAGCCTTTGGGGCAGCGATGGTTACAGCGCTTTGTCTGTGTGAGTTCACATCTGTCTATTATACAACATTCTACAAGGCAGGTTCGGAACGTTTTCCAAGACTACGATAGCATGGCTTACAATTTCTGAAACAGCTGTGTTCTAGGGACGTGGCGAAACAACTGAAAAAACCAATATCTTTAATAAGCATTGTCCCAACTGGACAAGGTTTAGTCCCTTCGGTGCGCCGCGGAGGGATAAAGGTATTTTTACCCAGTCCAGCGTTGTGATCAAAGTAAGGGTAAGAAACAGGTTGGACCACCGTGGCCTGGCCTGGTCTGGCCAATCATAGTGTGCAAAATTAAGGGTTTGCATGTACCTAATACAAAGCTGAACTGAGGCCACACACTCTACATGTGTGCATTATTCCCATTGTTGTCATTGCCATTGTGAGTAAGAATGTGTAGTACCTACACAAAGCATCACTAGAGACCTTGTAAACAGTGGCATAGGATCCTTCTCCAAGAGCCTCCAGCTTCTTGTACGTATCCAGCTGCCCAAATGGACTGCCCAACTGTTAACATAATAATAATATTTTAACACATCTGATATCGAAAAAGTAGGACGTCACTAATTGTAACTCAGGTTAACTCTACTTAAACTGAATGAAAATCAAGACAACACATTACATAAAGTTTTCATCATGATTATCACTAAATTGTACATACACATATTATACTAGAGGAATGCAATGCGTTTTTCACTTGTTTTAGAGCGTATATAGAATCACGTACACATCACGGTATGTTGGCATGTGGGTCTGTTTTCCGTTACAGATATAATTACAATATACATGTATACGTATATAAAATATGAGGGAAATGCCGCACTCATAGGCCAAGGTAAAACTGCTGTTAAAATGTTACACAACTATTCATTTGCAAAACACACATTCAGTTACACTTAATTGTGTGTATCATTTCTCCAAGGGGCACTACGTATTGGTTAACCCATGGTTAACCTATTTGCAGCCTAGAAAACTCGGACAGCAGTCTCACGAAGCCAGTCCTGTTGACTGCACAAGACTACTCCGACAGATCCCGTGTCACCACTATGAATCGGGTGCAATACATGCGACAGCTAAGTGTCAGCATTTGTGCAATTGAAAATTGGCTAGAGCCTGGAAAAACAACTCACCAAGGAAGCCAGCGACAAAACTAGTGTCTGAGCGTCTGTAGCTCCAGAGGTCACCAAACGCCAATGTTTTTCACGAAGCACCGCTCAGCCACTGGAATGCAATTAATGCGGGAATATACTTGACCAGCATCTGCAATATTCAGTGGTGGTTGCTGGTACTACGAACACACTGTTGTCAGAAGCTTTGATGGCTTCAAGGCAACAAGGGCACTGTTCTTTATTGATATTAACAATACAAGAATACACTTCATTTACGGTAATCCTTGGAGTGACAAACAGCTCAACTTTACAGTGCTCGTATACTCTTATTCATCATTGTGCCACAAGGGTGATTTAACCAAGTAACTATATAAAGGAAAGGCTCTCTTGTGGTTTAAGTTACATACTCTTCTCAAACACTGATGCAGTCGTTTCAGGAATAACGCCAGCACTGAAGCGTTTGGTATCGCTCTTAGGCCGCCTCGTAGCCTGTAGTGCGAGAATAGTCGTGGACACACATACATAGTGTAACCCTCGCTGCGCATGCACGCCGAGGGTTAACTACGGCAGCGGTAGAGGTAGGGTAAAGGTAGCAGTACTTCCGAGGAACAAAGTACACCAGCCTGATGAGAGCGCGAACGATTGTGGCTCGCCCGTACGGCAAGCAAAGTGTAACAGAGCTAAATGGCATGTTCAAGACACGTAAACGTACACATACGTGCGTCTAAAATGAACGTCCACACGGGCGTACATACGTTCATACTGATGGTTCAAACGTACGTACGTCCATACAATGACGTACGTGTATCCTTTATGCGCATGCGCATTATTGCAGTGAACCCTTGAAGGCGGCGATCGATAAAAGGCCCAGAGATGGTGTTCATTGAGGTGATCGAGTAGGTTGTACTGTTCGAGGTAGTAGAACATTTTGTAGAATAGGACGGTAACACTCCTATGCATATCCTTCCACAGCCTCTCTATCCTCTGATTATGTACACTGCAGCCTGTAATCATACTGCGTCTATCAGCCCCACGCTTCTCCAACATGTACTGTGCTACTAGTATGTTCTCTGTCCCTTGATCTGAATGGACACGCGAGGGTAGATGGTGTCTCCAAACAGCAGCTACAAAAAGGTCATAGACAGTTGTAGCTTGATTGTTAGTTGAAGCATGTAAGAAAACAATTAGCTGGCTGTACCCGTCCATATTCCATTCCGCGCCTGTATGGCAGAACAAATAACATTAGTTAAGGTCCCACAGTAAAACAACAACGAACCTGTATATGGTCATCCTACTAACACCCAGTAAAGAAGCTACTGCAGTCCACGAAAACCCAAGGAACGAGAGCTGCTCTTTGCTGATTTAGAATCGAGGCCTACACCAACAACCGATAAGTGATGCACCATCAATGGCCTCATCTCAGAAGTAGCTTCAAGGGTATTTTCGTAGTCTTTCCATTTTCTAAAAATGTTCTTGAGAGCACCAATCAACTCTTCAGTAGAGCGAAAATTGTCCTCTAATCCCGGAACTCCGCATAGGTGATTATCAGAACACACAGTTTAGTTATCGTGTACTCAAACAGTTCCACTACATAGTCAGTGTAGTTAAAATTAGCCAAACCATATTGTTTCTCAGCTTCTTCAATCAAGTGACGAATTTCATTAAACTGACCCTGTTTGCCTCAGCCATGTTCTGAGCTTACGATACTCTCTCACATGATAGTCACATATCACGTGATGTTTAGCACGTGATTGACCAACACACGAATATACGATTACGCACGCATCTCGAACGTCAGTATGAAACGTACGTACGTACGTCCGTATGAACGTACGTTTCAGTACGTCCGTATGAAAGCACGTTATAGACGCACGTATGTGTCGTTTACGTGTCTTGAACGCGCCGTTTAGTTTTGTTACACTTCGCTTGCCATACGCCCGTGTTGGCCTATAGGATGGTAAGTGTAGCACTGTACAAGATGAAAATCTGGTGTTTCCCAGTTAGTGCAGTACTACTTGTGAAGTACTTCAACGGTACCTCACACCCTGTACGCAGTACCGTGGTAGGATACTTCACTGGAACTTTCACGGTACCTTCAAAGGTACTTTGTAGGTACAGTATGAGTCAAAAAAATGTCTCACCTACCCTACCCTACTCTACCTAAATAACTACCCTAAACTACCCTACTCAGCTCTTCCCTACTACCCTACTGTACCCTACCCTACATACCCTACCCTACCCTACCCTACCCTACTCTACCCTACTCTACCTTTCCCTTCAGACTTGCTAACATGAATTTGTTCCCTATCCAAAGCTTTTACAATCTCTGCACAACTCAACTCTTTTTCAACTATCCTCTGCTTTATGTATTCAGAATAAACCATGCACGAGAAACGACGATTCTGGCGTCGCTAATTGAGGAAGCCCATTGAATTCCGCGCGTTTTTGTGGTTGACGCGCCCCCCTTTGTCCTTTCGCGCGATCGCGTGCTCGCCACTCAACACGCCGCTCTCTATATACTAGCAACTAGCAGCTAGCGTCTGCTCCAGCGTTTGCTCCTGTGGGCTGGGCTGTCGCGCTGCTCAGCGCTAGTGGCGGTGGTCACTACGACGGCGTGTATGTAGAAGCTCTGCTCAGTAGCTATATATATGCCGCACTTGCATGTTAGTCTACTGTACGCGCTTCGCTGCTGCTCTGCCCCCGCCTGTTTACGCCACGGTCCTCCTCTGCCCCGCCGGCGCAGTGTTTTTTACGCCACGCTCCGCTGCTCTACTCCTCGCTACTCTGCGCACTACTCTACTCTTCGCTACCCTGCGCTACTCTACTCTTCGCTACCCTGCGCTACTCTACTCTACTACCCATTTCTACCCTTACGCTGCTACTACCCTACCCTTCCTCTACTCTACTCTACCCAAAAATCGTTGACGTTTTTTTGACGCGTACTGTACTTCTGAAGTACTTACGTACGTGAAGGGTATGTAGCGGTAGTACCGTTACCGTATAGTGGAACTTTGTTCACTTTATTTTACCTGTACTGTAGTCACAATATTTGCACAGACACGGGCACACATCATGCACAACCAGTAACTAATTATTAGAGTCACAAGTCTCAGTCCCAAATTCTGTCTGCGGAACTTGCGATGACTTAGAAAGTAATACGTTCGGGTGGTATAACATACCTTATTTACGTGTATATTGCTATTGGCAACAATTCAGAGTCATAGGCAATTAACAGTTAACTAATGTGGCAGTAGTAATTATGTACATACAGGTCCAAGAGAGCTCCTCCGGCCAAGTGGAGGTCTGCTGACAAGGTTCCCTGTGGAGCCAAAGTTCTTGACGGCCACGTGGTGCATGAAGGAGGGACCAACTGACGCATAGGCTGGGCCAGAGATGGTGCTAGTCCTCTGCCGACTACTAGTCACCATGTCCACTTGCTGGAGACTCTGCAGAGACATGTGTAATAATATTGTGACAGTATGAGGCAAAAAAGTTGTTTCCTTTTCTTTGACATTCAATATCGCTCTGTTCCATACTCGTGCAGCAGTAGGGTTATGTTGACTTCCGCGTGACATACCTAGTACCTAGCAGGGGATTGGTGTAAAAGCGAAGCAAAAAAATACAGAGGCAGTACCCATGCTGTTGCAAGAAGAATGCGTGTACCAACAGCACTGCAGCAGAACGAACTAACCTGATGCCATTAGAGCAAGCCTAGGAGCTACATAATTATATTGCTTGTTTATGTTCTCAAACAAAATAACTATCATATATACACTCTAAAGTATGAAACTAGCTGTCCGGACTTGAGAACCAGGGAGGTGGATAAGTGTTTTGCACCTCTAGTTAGGTAACATTCAGTAGGCGATTGTGTGTTGTGTGAACTTAAGGTAAAGAAAGACAGGCACACCTGCAGGTGACTGTTCTCACTCACCAGTGATCTGGGCCTGCTTGTGGCGTTGCTGAGAACGTTGGAGGGGGAGCGAGAGGGAGAGCGGTTTTCCAGACGCCCAGTACTTGATCCCAGTCGCAGGAGGCTCTCTGAGAACCTTCTTCTCCACTTCTGGAACCTCCCTTCCTTCATAAGACCATTGGTCAGTCCTGTGCGTGTTTGTGTATTGTAAAAGCCTCACTTATCTGGTCTTGGCTTCTAACATATTATAGAGGTAGACACAAAATAGTCAATGTTAACAATACAATGTATGTGCAGAGCGCCACCTGAACATTCATGTATAGTGTATGTGTGACACAAAAAGAGGTGGTGTGAGAGACTGGATGAGATGGTGAAGGATGAAATGAGATCAATATTGCATTCCAGTGTGTCTGCTATAGTATGTACAAAGTCACCTGACTACACTTTAAGTCACGCCAATGTTGACCCACAGTGGCATATTTAATTGTGTGTGTACATGAGGGTCATTATGAAGGCAGCCACTAAGTCCACCAACTGATGGATGGTTGTCCCCTCCCACAGTACTCTCTTTCAACACTCATCAGCTTCAAATAACCCTTACTTACCACATCAGACAAGATGTAGTATCATATATCCCTTCAGCGGGCAACACTAACCCATCGCTAGCAACTTAGCATGTAGGTCTCAAACACAAAAGTCACAATTGACAGAACCAACGCATTGACTATTGTATTTTGTGTGGGCGAATCAATCGCCACCAGTACTATATTCATCATACAGAACAGTTTTTGAATGAACTGTACTATCACGCGGAACTGTACTATACTGCGCTTATCTTGCAGCAACATGTGTGTAAGTGTATGTACGCCATGGTTGGGTTTATTGTGCACAAAGGGTTATACAACACAACCCAACCTACAACGCCTTAATAACCCGACAATTGAACTGTGGAGTGAGCAAACACAAACAAAATTATTACTTACAATATTTACCTATCACCTTTATCCAGGAGATGCAAGAAACAGCCAACCAGCTAATCTCAATATACATGTAGAGGGCACGCGATTCCACAGTCTGTGTATACCACATGTGGCTTGAGGGAGTGATGAAAAGAGTCAAAAGGAGCTATGCCACGCCTGCCCAAATGAAGCACTAACATCAAAAGCAAGCTAGACAGGAAGATGAAGGAATGGCCATTTCCAGAACTACCAGCAGTGCCAATGAACTGAAGACTACAGAGTGCTGGCCGGAAACAGCTATATAACTGTCGCTGTGTACATCATAAAATGCGCCCAAGGCTTGGCTTTGTGTTAAAGTCAGATACAGATCAAAACTTCGTATAAATGTACCATATCAATAACAAGACCTCCTTGACCGTAGTCATTTATTCGTCTAAAATGTTGTTTGTTGTCAGACCCCAAGTACCTATAAAATTCTAAAAATGCGTGTAGCAATTTTTTATACCATTACCAGTAAACAAGATTGTGCATAATAATATTTGGATTTTATAGTACCTCTATGGGTTGTCACATGACAGTCACATGACTTGAAATAACCCTCAGAGATTTGGATAAAAGATTGTTATCATAGATAGTGCATGGCTTATGGGTGATTATGAATAATGTGCCCAAAAATGGTCTCTAAGTGCATAACAGTGATGGAGATGTTACTCTAAATTGAGAACTTTAGAAAAAGCCTCCAAAGAAACTGCAACTGCAATGCTTGTCTACTGTTGTGTGTATTAGGCCACTTATATCACCTCCCTCATGTTAACCTCTAGAGGGATGGACTTTCCACCCAATGCCAACTATGTACCATATGTGAGAGGATAACCACAAACAGCTCAGTGGGACCACTGGGAATACCTTTTAATTAATGAGGCACAGCCATGTAAATGCCCCGCAGGCCACTGCCAGTCTGACTAATGCAATTTAATCCAGATACCCTACATAGCTGAATGGGAGTGACAGAATTGCATTTGTGCGGCACCACAGACAATCTCACCACTATAGACCATCGAATACACACAAACTAGAACGAGTGCAAGGTATTTTTGGTGTGTGAAGAAACCTTTGAACTGTTGTACGTGAAGAGATGGCAAAAAATGGTGCAAGGTCAGTTATAATAGAAAACAGCACAATTCTGATGATGAGGTATCGTTATTGGTTCACAATTACTGCCTGTAATGGTCGTTACAAAACAGTGAAACTAATCTTAAACTGAACACAAATTCCACATGGTATGACAGTGTCTTACAGCAATAAAACTTCTAAAAAATAATGTCTACAACCACTGCACTATCAAGTATGGACTGGTGTGCATTGTTGATTGCAACAGTATATGCTATCTAAACCACAACATTACAAACACCATTGCCCACTAATAATAATAATCCATAGCACATTATTAGCCCACCAATTTGTCCATAAAATCCCAAATACAGACAGAGTAATGGTTAGGAGAGAAGGGACAAAAAATCTAACCACATCCGCGCAAGCTGAGTTGCCCTAGCAGGGTAGAGCACTCACCTAGACTGCAGAATGCCGAGTGTTTGAATCCTACCCAGTGTGCCACTTATTTGTCCAGGGTGCAGTTGACTTATTTGCTTTGCCTGGCTACCTTGTTGTTGACATGAGTACCCACACACACGTTGCGAGAATGTCGAATACACTTTCCTTCATTGCTTCAAAATGACACGAAGCTCAGGGTCATAATCACTGCCCACTATCTCACACTGGTGCTACATAGCACCAGGGAGAATGACGATTTACTAAAGTTTACAGAAAGATGTGACGAAAGCAAGAAAACCAACAGGCAGGTGATGGTTCCAAGACAAGTCCGTGGCCAGAGTCGGCACGAAAAAGCCGCATGACAAGAAAATCCACTCTGCTAATCAAAGCCTTTGGAAAGCAGTCAACTTCCTAAAGCAGCTAATGGCTTCTGCATGGATTAATCAACCCAGGTAAAATGAGTTCAACACCTACATTCTACCCTGTAGCTATGTTATTAACAGGCAGCTGGACTACTCTATGAGTGTATTTCACCCAGACCAAATACATACACTCGAGCACACGAGAGATGCACGTGGGAATTCTGATCATCATCTCCCCAGGCTACTGGGCTGGAGACCATGGAATTAGTCTTACACTTCAGCCATGAAAATGTTATATATAACATAACCCAGGGTTATGCACTTTCACCTGTGGTTTTGTGTCCACAGCAACATAAATTTGTACCAAACCACTAGACTCATGTTGCAGGTGCAGTCAAGTGCAATGTCCTTCACTTCCAGAGTGTCAGCAAACAGCAATATGAAGCAACCCAGTGAGGAAAGCTGCCTGTGCCAGTGTTTATGTACCTACATATTAGATGCAAGCTAGGCACTGAGCAGATCATACACAGAGTCACAGTTACAACACAAACCAGAGTGAGCGCTATCAGAAGAAGCTATATAATATAGTTTCAAGATAGCGCGCCGTATGGAAGCGACACCATGACACATACCCAGCCTCAGTAAAACACTCACCATTTTCTCCTGGGCTCAGTGGAGACATGTCTCTAGGCGAGCTTCCATCAGTAGAGTGGCGGTCCCTAGTGTCCTCTCCATTGCCTGGATGAGCAGCGGTACCGTTGTCTGCAGCCAGTGCGGGCTCCTCCGAAAAGACTTCTAAGTTTGAACCGAAAGTCTCGCGAGATCGTGTGCGGTAAGTAAGACGAGGACTCTGTTCAAACGTTTCTTGTATGATGACCGAGCCCAGAGCCATTGCATGAGCTAGCCCATAGGGCAATCGCGAAAACCCAGCCTACTTATTTTGGTGGCCCCCCGCCCGCCGCGCGCGCATGACGACATATATAATTATTATAATTATTATGCTCCTCCTCGTGCGCATGCTCTCTGACAGTTCCGCCGTTCCTAGATCCTTAGGCCCAAATTCGACAAAAATATTCACGTCGTTGTGTAGAATCGGCCGGTAAAATCGTTCGTTGTTCGTACGTTATCCTACGTCGTTGTAAAAAGTGAGTGGTCATCTAATACCGCTACCGACAGTTTGTCGATCGTCTCGCACATGCGCATAAATCTTAGCGCAGAATGCGAACGCACGTGCGCTGGATCAGGACAAACTGTCGTAGGCAACAAAGCCCTCAACACCAGCCAGAGCAACTTCAATACATTATAGCCGCATGCTCGGACAGCTTAGGAATATATTTTGTGTTGATGAAAGAGAGCATCCAAGGCATCACATATATGAGAGGCAGTCACTGAAAATTGGATGGAACAGAGATGTTAGGTGACGAAGAGTGTGTGTTGAGAATGACCTGCAGCTTTGAAGCATGAAAAAACATGTTTATAGCATACTAGCTCAGAGGAAAAGAAAGAACCTCCCCCACCCAAGCACACAAAACACAGACAATAAACATACACATTAGCAATATTGCAAGCACCAGCTACTCCGTAAACAACAGGGGCGAATGAAGACGAAGAACTCTTTAGCGAGTAAAGTGCGCATCCGCAATCGCACGGCTTGCTGTCCTAAACCACACACGATCGAGCGACAGGACGTCCAACAATTACGGCATGGCGATCATATGAAGAACGCGGTTCTATTTCAGCACAAGTCGACTGCTACCGGTTTTGAATAAACGACGTATATACGCTGGAGGACGGACAACGTAGGATACGACGATCGATAGCGTGTTAGGCTGCAAAAGCGAAACCTACGCAAGAGCGAAACATGCGCAATTAAGGCCGCACGGCCATCCTGTATCGGAACGTGTAACCGCATGCGGAAGTTCCTTATCCTGGGACTAAAGGAGTAAGTCGAAGGCATTATGTGCAGAGCCTCGTTTCGCATTTGCGTTAGGTGCGTTGGTTAACGCATAAGCGTCAATCTATGCAAAAAGAAGGTAATGTTACCTGAATCCTGGTACTAAAGGAGGAAGAAACGTCTCTCAGACCATCCTCACACTTGTACTTTAGCAGCAAATCGAAGGCATTATGTGCAGAGCCTCGTTTCGCATTTGCCCAGCCATGTGCACCATGAAGTAAGGAGGGTGAGGATTATGCAAGCTAGACTAAGTAAGTTATGGCCAACATTTAGGTTCTTTTCCAACTATTTTCAGCTTTCAGAACACCTTCAAGCAGGAGAACATGGCCTCAGCATCGATACAGATGTGGCTTTGTGGATTGCATAATATTATTATTATTATCACATGCCAATAATAAGGCACAAAAAAAGAAAGAAGAGATGATGAAATAAGGAGTTAAGAACATGATAATTTAAAAATAAGCTCTTCAAATGGCGATACAGGAGTAAAAACATAACGGATAGAACGAATAATTTGGGCAACATTTGTAACATGATCAGTATATGTTTCATTTTGTAAGAGTAAATGACCAAACATGAAA